TTAAGAGTCAACTCTTAACAAAGAAAGTCAACTATACCGAGCACCCATAACGTTCTCAATTCTTTGGAATTTGAGAGTCGAATATTGACCTTATATAGTCGACTCTTAAAGGCTTAAAAATCAAATTTAGATTTTTAGAGTCGACTCTTTACTGCTCAAGAGAGTTGACTTTTTACATAGAGAGTCAACTATACCTTGCACCAGGATATTCTCAACTCTCTGAAATTTGGAAGTTGAATTTTGATCATTTATAGTCGACTCTGGATGTATCACTTCTTAAATTGTTACGAAATCTATCTTCTTCTTCTTCTTCTTTTTTTACTAATGACGTGGAAAAAAATACGTTAAATTTTAATGAGTTGTCATTTTTTACTCTAATTAGTCATATTTTCATCCTCTCCTACCTGTTATTATCTTTTTCATATGGTAGGCCCTACATCAATATTTATAATTTTATTATTCTTATATAAGAATTACTTTGTATTTCCTCTTAAGAGAGAAAGTATTAATAGATTTACATAATTAAAATTTATAACTTGTAATTAAAGGTTTTAATTGAGTATTAATTAAAGGAAATTAAATTGGAAACTACTTTTCCTCCTCCAATGCCACTGTTCATCTTCTCCAACTCCAACCTTCCACTTCCAATTCAATTTATGTGCAAAATCTTTAAGATTCTTTTATTAATTTTAGAACTCATATAATGAAATGACTTAATCATAAACTAAGTTAAATAAGCCAAAAAAAAAAAATAAAAAAAAATAAAAAGAAGATTGAACAAAGAAACAAACAAAGGAATCAATTTGTATTTAATAAAAAAAATTATAATAAAAAGAAGAAGATTGAAAAAGAAACAAAGAAATGAAATCAGGATGGCCAAAAAAAAAAAAAGAAAGAAAGAACCCAACCAATTTGTATGAAAACAAAACAAAATAAAACAACCCAAGAGACTTCATAAGAACCCATATCAATTGAAGCTGCAAAAATATGGGTTTATGGGTTTGCTTTCCAATTTAAAATAAACATGAGTTTGGCTAGAAAGAATTTAGGAATAAAGTAAACAAAAAACAAAATAACCCTAGGTTCTCCCATTGAGAACCTATAGCTTGGGTTCAACCAGATCTAGTTCTCCCAATGAGAACCCATGTGGGTATGTCCAAGTTCTCACTAGTACTGAGCAAGGGTTTGGCCGTCATCATCCCCCCCATTGTCATCCTTACTCAGAGCAGTACTAAGGAAAGGTAATATTAGCAACATATTCTTTGTTGACTTTTGGTTGCTAAAAACATTGGAATAACAGTAACGTGGTTTTTGTTGGTAATGTCTAATATCAGCAATATGGTATATGTTGCTAGTGCTTCTAGTGACTGGAAAATTAGAGCAACATGTCCCTTATTACTAAAATTCACTTTTAGCAACATATTTCTTGTCGTTGAAATTCACTTTTAGCAACATATTCCTTGTCACTGAAATTCACTTTTAGCAACATGTTCCTTGTTGCTGAAAGTGGAACTCACTTTTCGGTGAGAATATGTACTATATGGTGATAAAAAAATTACAGCAACATACCCCTTGTTGCTGAAAGTGGAACTCACTTTTAGGTGAGAATATGCACTATATGGTGATTGAAAAATTACAGCAACATACCCCTTGTTGCTGAAAGTGGAACTCACTTTTAGGTGAGAATATGCACTATATGGTGATCGAAAAATTACAGAAACATACCCCTTGTTGCTGAAAGTGGAGCTCACTTTTAGGTGAAAATTTGTACTGTATAGCTTTAGGTGAGAATATGCACTATATGGTGATCGAAAAATTATAGCAACATACCCCTTGTTGTTGAAAGTGGAGCTCACTTTTAGGTGGAAATATGTACTGTATAGCTTTTAACAACATAGTTCTTGTGGGTGAAAATTTATATCACCGACAAAAACACCCATGTTACTCATAAGGAGTTGCTAAAAGTGGGAATTTTAGTAGTGTTATATAAAAGGAAGAAAGCAAGAATTGAGAGATAGGGAGAAATGTCATCAACTGTATTTACATATAAAGTCTAAGATTGGGAGATGCATTGCTTACTTGAAGCAGAAAAGAGAAGAAGATCCATACAAGAATATTATACCTCGGCTAATGCACCAGGCCACACATGGTTCCAACTCTCAAGCTCCTTCCTTTGACCTTTAATCTTACTTGTTATTGAGTGGTGTTGAATCCCTTGAGAGTAACTTAACAAGTACTCGCATAACTTGACACCGATTAAAACTTTAATATGCATCATTTTTTTGTTTGTAATACACATAATTTCTTCTAGAAATTATATGGTACAGCTATAAAAATAATTATATTTAAACTCTAAAAAAAGGTCATTAGCAAATTTCAATCTTTTTAGTCTAGCTATAGCCTTTCTATATTTGAGTTTGTAAAAGTATTAAATCAAAAATTTATGACACTGCATGTCACCTCAAATCTAAGGTAACTTATGGCAATTGAGGACTAAACTACTTTTAGGCATCCCTAAGATTCAATCCGAGGTTGTTTAGAGTGACCTGAGATAGTTTTTCATAAATTATAAATAACAATTTGGAGGATTTTTTCAATTTGTGCCATTAACATGTAGTTATACATCCTTCTGATATTAATTTGTATTGAAAATAATAAAAAAAAGTCAAATAGATTATTTTAATTATAGATTATTTTAATTAGTCAAGTGATTAAATAAAAATCAACTCTGATTTTTTAAAGCCAATTAACATTAAAAAATTTGTCCTTAAACATGTGCCCTACAAGTTTAAAAAAAGAAAAAAAAAAAGATAATTTGAAATCTATGTGTAAAAGTGGAGGTATGAAATGTAAACAATGATATACTTATATTTGCTCAAATTTAAAATAAATAATGTATTGGCTAAGCTCTTGTTGGTAGAGATTATAGTATGTCATGTATATACATGGTTGTGCTATTGTTAGGGCAAGG